AACTCTATATCTACCACATAACTAACCTGTTATAAGTGAATTAAAGGCTATTATATCTTTAAGATATGATCAAGTGAAGATGTGATTGACTGATCAGGTTCCCTTTGTTTCCAATGTGACATCATATATCCATGACGTAATATTTATTTTGACCTCGCCAAAGGAAAAAAAATAGCGCGAGAATATCGCCAATCCAGATTTTGTATCTGTTTATTAGACTGTTTTTTTTTCACGAATGCTTACAAACGCATCTAATTTACATGTGATGAAAAGAATCGGACATTTGTTTCCATTTCATAGCAGATTTATGAATTATTTACGATAAAATGAAGTGGTAACCTGGGTAATTTTCTTTATTTCTGTCATTTCGATGATCGATGTTGGTAATTGGCCTTAATATGAATAACATCACCATCGAAGAGAATCAGTACAATATTGCTTCGGTTAACAGTATCAATGTAATTACATCGTATATCATCGACGAATTAATTGTTTGTAATTATATATAGATAAGTTTTCATTTCATATGAGATTCTATGAAACGATTCCTACCAAAGATGTTATTTCTGCGGACCTCTGCGAGCAGAAGATAAAACCCCAAGGCGACTTCGTGAAATTTCTGATGAAATGAAAACAAATTTAAGACACTTTTAATGACATAAATCAAAATAGTCAAAATATGGAGAACAAAAATCAAATAGAGGCAGCCATTTTGTCGCGCCATTTTCAATTCGTGACGTAATGTCTCTGTCCATATTATAACATCATAATCAAATTCTGACTGAGGCATCGAAAGGGGGAAATGTTCCAGAGTATATTACACTTATATAACATATACACAAAAATATTACATGAGGACAACAACAAATAGTATTTTACATAGGTACATAATGGTTGAACAATATTGATATAACTAACACCGAAGGATTCGGTAATATAGGGTATATAGATAATGAGATGAAAAGATGAACATATAAAATGAAACTAAATAAAATAATACAAGTACTTTCAATCACATGACTTTTGAAACAAAAAATTGTTTTGCTTGTTTGGGAGTTTGCCAACTACTATGGAAACAAGATACAATACAATGTATCGGCATTGTAAGATGGGACTTAACCGGATCATCACCAGAAGCAGAACCCAACTAAAATCCGACCCGGCATCCCTTCCCACTCCATTTATACGAAATACCATTATTTCCATGAACTTTGAACCTTACAATATTTACCGTGGTTTTCGTGTTCTATCCAACATTTTTGCTCGATAAGGATGGTTCCTACATATATGAGAAAACCTATACCAACTACATGCTTGTGTCCTTTGGTAAGATTTCAAAGGATGGAATGCGACATGCCTCCCGTATGTTGTATGGATTAAATTTCATTGTTAGAACTTTAGGTGAGATGAACATTTAACAAATCACAATTTAAACGAGAACGCTGATGATTAGTTTAAAAAGGTAATACATTTATCTCCCTATCTCAAAAATGAAAATACTTTGGGAATCACGTGTCAGCCATCTTTCCGGAACTTTTTTCACAGCTAATCTCAATATTATATAACAATTACTATATAATGATGCAGCTCTTAGAACACATTGCATAAAATCCTAGATTAAGTTTAGGTGCTGACAAAAATTGTAAATTAATTGGGGATTTTTTTTCTGTATCCTTGCTAATTCTAACAGGAGATTTTACCCATTCCTTTCCCGGGGACTCTGTCCTTTAGATTACAGAAGCAATTACAACATAGGATCACATGCTTGTATAAAATATTAATATCGAAGTCAGTGATTAGATATAGACATCAATAAAATGAAATATAAGTACTATCAAATTCCTGTTTTTGATATATCTGACATTTTAGAAGAAATAAATCGGGATTTCATGAAAGCTGTTATTTCTATTATTCTACTCGAGACCGAGGGTCCTTTCGTTTATGCAGTTGTAACGGCTAAACCGGTCAAACCAATAAACGGACTACCCGGTTCGTTTTCGTTCCGGACCGTTTTCAGTGGCTAATCTGGCATGTTTTGACTGAAGGCTCAAGGCGGAACCAAGATGGCGGCTCAGCTTAGAAAGTAAACAAATGCAGTTGGAACTTCATAGAATTTGTTTCTACATAGTTAACATCGGTACAAAGAAAGTATAAATTCCAATATGGGTGTATATGATAGATAACTGTCGACACTAGCACCATTTATTCATGTTATGACATGTTATCGCGAATGTGAATCGCGACAAAACACATTTCAGACAAAATAATTATTTATCAGTATTTATCTTCATACTTCCAGCATAGACTGTATACTTCAAGTTGGTAATTTGCGTTCATCTTTCATATTAAATTATTGTATTATTCAAAAGTTAAAAACGAGAAGCAATTTGCATCTTCTGTATTATATCAACAAAGTGTTCCATAGAATTATATTTACATACTCTGACATATATCACTAAAACGTATAGTAAGTATCAGGAGTTTGGTTGCTGTATTAACTTCGCCTTTGGAAGTGGATGAAGAGTTTAACAGAAGTGTAGGGAGAGCCAAGTATTGTACGTTTTATATATTCTTACTATTCACTATTTCAAACATATGATGTAACTCTTTACTATGTAATACTCATTCTTGGAAATATTTATTGAAATCAATACATAAAAAGTTCAACTACCTAATTTTAATTGTAAGAACATGTACTATAGAAGTCGTGTTTCTTTTCTTTGATTAAATTTTATGTTGTTAATTGAAGTCTGGTACTCTGTCAAGAAGAAAGGTAAGAACAATAGGAAACGGGTTAAACATGTTACTTAAATTGAATATATAAATGTGTTTCTATTATAAAGTCAATAAGTGTAGGAATACATTAAGAACAGATTTGATAAAATGAATAATGATTGCTTCATTGAAAATGCATGGTTATCAATTGATAGAATTTTATCTTCCAAAAGTTACATGTTCTTTCATTGATTGGGAACATAATTTTCAAATCACATTTCTGTATAAGCAAAGCAAACATTTTCATTTTTATTATCAAATTACTATTATCTGCATATTTGTCATAAACTAAGAAAAAACAAGAAAGGCGTAATGACACAAGTTTCTAATATCCAACAGAAAATATTATGGTCATTGATTTCTGAACTCATCTGATAAACAAATAATTTATCAATGAAATGACACATACATTCCTAAAAATATTTGCACAGTATGCATTGAGTTACTGGCTAGTTTTGATATTTTGATAATAAGTTGATAATTAAATAATAAAAATTAATTGCGAAATGATTTAGAGCAGAATGAGATTATAAATACTAATGTTGTATCCTTTTATAATATTTATTTCATGAAATTTCCTCACCTTATATTGGCTTTGCGGGAGAGTTTATAATACAGAAAGCAGTCTGCCATTGAATATTTTTATTAGTTATTGGAATTATGTAAAATTTGCATTAGGTTTAACGTCTTTTTGTTGCTGTTAACAAAGCGATGTTGTCATGACAAAGTCATTATTAATGTCATGTCCGAAAACAATTTATCAGAAACTAGGAATCTTCCGAAATACAAATATTCAAAGTGAAGTGTTTGGTAAAGTTTGTCATTGGTCGCCATATTGGAATTAATCACGGTTCGAGCCTGCGTGCCGTCACGACCGATAAAACGAAAGCGGCCCAGGTAGCTTTCCGGCTATACTGTACACGGTTTGTGATCGTATTATTAGTGTATTCCATAGGTTGCTGCGATTAAAGTGAGGGAAGACACGGTTATAACAACCACTAACAGTAAGTGACAGTATACATCTTAATGATCAAATATTCTTCGGAAAACGTACCACATGAATGAAAATGTTAACAATTTATTTACTAAATGAAAAAGGTATGCTATACCGTTGATAGTAGTGCTAGATGTACGGAAACCGAAACAGGATGTTGAGTCAGGCGAGAGTAACCACGAAATTCGTCACATTTTAAAGTCTGTTCATTAAAGATCATACTTATAACTGTGTGTTTTAAATTTCAACATTTTTAAAGTCGAGTTTTAATGTCAACAGGCCTAGATTAAACACCAGTGTTCTGCTGAGAGTGTGGTAGGCTACCCGTTATATTACGATGTAAGGGAGACAACTTCAGTCTAGGTAATGGCGAATCTTGAATGAACTCAAAAGGACAAACACAGCCGCCATCCTCCATGAAGAGATGCAGATTATGAAGTTAATGATTAACGAAATTGAGTCAATTTGCAGTTATCAAGTAGAAAAAAACCCCACGAAATTCAGGATGTATGATTATGTTATCCATCTATTTCATTTTCAAAGTGAAAATTTATTTCTAATGCTACGAAAAACTATTGAATCCAAATATAATAGTTCAAGACATTAGACAGTTTTGTTTTAACGAAACATCATTAACATTTGGATTAATTATAATTCTTCTTCTGTTTTTTTTTGTATCAAAACTTGAAGGTTATATTAGTTTTATCAACTATATATGGTGGTATGTGTGTATGTACTGGTATATATATGGTGGTATGTATATGTACTGGTATATATATGGTGGTATGTGGATGTACTGGTATATATATGGTGGTATGTGCATGTACTGGTATATATATATGGTGGAATGTGTGTATGTACTGGTATATATGTGGTGGTATGTGTACGTTTTGGTATATATATATGGTGGTATGTGTATGTACTGGTATATATATGGTGGTTTGTGTGTATGTACTGGTATATATATGGTTGTATATGTGTAGTAGTGTCGCTGGCGACATGACGATTATACTTACAAGAGGACGGGGAAGAGAATACGGGAGAAAATTTATGTGATAGTACCTCAGTTGACGTCTAATCTTATTTGTTTATAGCTGACCGTGATTCATTAATATAAAACAAAACGATGTATGAAATGTATGCTGTACTTACCGTAACATATCTTTTCAAATTGATTCCATTTTCTCTCTTACGTTTTCAGATAAATAACCAAAGTGTGACAACATATATGATGGCAGAAGGTGGTCCCTCTCCAGACTCTCATGCGTTTGACGTCACGCAACCTGTCCACCCGGAATCTCAATTCCTAGAATGTCCTATCTGTCTTGAGCAGCTACGTCAGCCCCGGTCACTACCTTGTCACCATTCTTTTTGTGAGGAATGTCTGAGCAGTTACATTGTTAGTGAGGTGTCGGTGAAGAGTGATACGGTAATCTCTTTTACTTGCCCTGTGTGTAGGAAATTAACACACCCCTTAGACGCCTCCGAGAACAAAGAAAAATGGGCAAAGCAGTTTCCTATTGACAGCGTTGCCATGGATATGATACAAATAAGAAACAAACACACAGAAACATATTTCTGTATGCCATGTCAGAAGACGAAGGATGACAAGGTACCAGCTAAATTTTGGTGTAAAACTATTGACTGTTTGCTCTGTGAGACTTGCAGAATAAATTTCCATGACGTCATACACACGAACTGTGATGTCATAGATGTAGAAACATCACGTAATTTCCCACTGAGACAGCAAACATTTGATAAAAGATGCAACAAACACAATAAAAAAATATCTTACTATTGTGAGGATCACAAGTCTCTCGGCTGTAGTAAATGCATAACAGTTGATCATAGGAAATGTGAAGAAGTGACAACGACAGAAGATTACTGCGAGAAACTGAACCTTAACTCCGGGCTTGAAAATAGGAAGTCATGTCTACAAGAAGCAGCTGTAGCTCTGGAATCAGTGATCAATGACTTTAATGCACAGCTACAGACTATTGCTGACGACAAAGATTTAGCATTGAAAAGCATCGACGACCTCCAGGAGCGGCTGGAGAAGCGTATCAGAGAAACGAAGAAGGAAATCACAGATGATTTGGTCAAGACTTATAAAAAGGAGAAAGAAAAACTAAAGGTTTCAAGTCAGAAATGTGAACGACTGAAAGTCGCTATACAGAATACATTGGAATTGTCTGCTACAGCCCTGCAGAGGAAAGATCACATGGGCACCCTCCTGTTATATCAGAGAGGTGAGACGGAGTTAAATGCTCGGAGAGATTTATTGAAAGAAGTCAGGATGTCAGTTTCAACTATCAATATCCGACATGAAGCTGATTCGTCTATGACTGGTATAGACTTTGGTGATATTGTTGTCCGAAAACAACGAAGACATTTTAAAAATGTTCCAACTCTTTCCAAACCGTTGTCAGAATGTGACGTGAAAGAAGTCAGAAAAATCGGCATAGGATACCGAACCGACAAGTTTATAGCCAATGCTCGTGGAGTTGTGTTCATCACTGATGGTATTGTGGTGGGAGATAATAGTAATAGAAAGCTCAAATTAATCAACACAGAGGGAGATATCGTGGATGAGTTGAAGCTGAATGGACGTCCTTGGGATCTGTGTATGGTAGATAATACCACCGTGGCAGCCGCTGTAGATGGTCCACGTGGGATACATATAGTTACTGTCACACCTTCTAAACTTAGATTGTCACATGCAGTAAAAACAGGAAAACCATGCCACGGTATCGCATACAGAGATGGAGAATTCGTCGTGAGTTTGGGTTTCGAAATAAGCAGTGTGACGAAAGACGGCATATTAAACTCTTTATACAAATTTAGTAACCATGTCTTTGCTTTGTCTTATGATTGTGTGACAGGTAATCTCTTCATACCTGAGAACACAGGTACCACTGGCAATACGGCTGTTGGTCGATTGACTTCAAACAGCAAATACGGAGATTTTTTAAAGGTTGGTTTAGTGAAGGATGCGTATGGAGTAGACGTCGACATGGAAGGTAACGTTTATGTATGTGGTCAGGATTCGAACAATATAGTACAAATATCTGAGGACGGGACAAATGTCCGAGAACTGTTAACGAAAGAGCACGGTATACGGCCACTATCAATAGCTGTCTGTGGTGACAGATTTGTGGTAACACAGAGTAGTTTCATCCATTTATTTCAGTTGCAGTGATGAGCATCCTTTCAGTGCCAGCGATCTCAATATTTTGACCTCTAGGAGCGACTAGATAAGTGTATCAGAGAAATGAAGAAGGAAAGCACAGACGATTTGATCAAGACTTATAAAAAGGAAAAAAAAACATGAAGGTCAATATCTGACATGAAGCTGATTCGTCTGTGACAGGAAAAGACTTTTGTAATATTGTTGTCCGAAAGCACCGAAGACATTTTGAAAATATTCCAACTCTTTCCGAACCTTTGGGTGTATCGCGAAAGGGATAACGAAAATCAACATAAGGTGGCAATCGGATGCTGATATTTGTGGAGTTGTTTGTATTCCTGATGACTTAATTGTTGTGGGAGATCGCAACAATGGAAAACTCAAATTGATTAACTCAGCTGGAGATATTTTGGATGAAGTGGAGATAAATGAACGTCTTATGGATCTGTGTGTGATAAATGATACCATCGTGACAGCAGCTGTGGAAGATATACATGTAGTGACCGTCACACCTTCTAAACTTACCTTGTCGTATGTAATAAAACAGGAAAACTTTATAACGTACAGAGATGGAGAATTCGGCAAAATAAAGTGTGACGCATGATTCCTTGACAGGAAAAGTGCTCAGCGCGCAGCACGTGATCAATTCTGAAAGTATAGCCATAACTCATTTGTCTGCAGACACAAAGACTTGTTAAAGGTTGGTGCAGTCAGACATGCGTATAGTAGATGTCGACATGGAAGGTAATGTCTATGTTTCTGGGTACACCAATAACAACGTAGTACAGATGTCCTAAGGCGGGATAACTCTTGACGACAGCGGACGGTGTTATCAACCCACGAGCAATGGCTATCTGTGGTGATAGACTTGTGTTAACAAACCATTCCTCAGAGGAATTTCACCAAAGTATTTCAGTTGCATTGGTAAACATCGAAATGGTGGATTTGATATCACTTGATAGGTTATTTATCTTTTAATTAGAAAATGATAAAAATAATGGTTAAAATCTAAAATAACACTTTACCAGCTGCATCAAATTTACAATGAAAGATAAGCTAAGATTATATGGTACGAATAATATCATCATGAAGGTTTTGTCGACCTAACGTAACTGTAAACGATATATTGGACAATGCATTTGTCTTTTCATACATCTATGTCTTTTCACTTGAATTCGTACATGTGAAATTTCCCGAGCACAAATTACCTATTTCGTTGAACCAATGTTCACGATGAAAACATTCTCTTAATTGATTGTAACATTTAATTTTAGAAGATTATATTACCACAATGAGTAGGATATCTTGATGTCTCCTCTATATGAGTGGAAACTTTTGCTAAAACCGAGTGTATTGGTAGTTGAGTCCCAAATGGACCCAGTCACTTTTTTCGTTTTCGTATGCATGCTCTTTTCATGCCGATAAACGTTTGTCTGTCTCTAACTTTTCATGATGTTGATGTAATATTCAATCTGTCCGTCTCTCATATTTTGTCATACCTCATTTTGTTTTTCTTTTATAAATTTCAGTTCTGTTTTATGATTGTAACAATAGTGTTAACTACGCTTTATGAGTAGTAATTGTCATTATGTATTGAATGTTCCCGTCCGTTCATCCGTCATTCAACAATTTCTGGCATCACTTTTTCTAGAGATTCATATGTAGATTTCTCTTGCTGCCCAGATGGGCATAATCCATTGTAAAAATGATCGGAAAAGCGTGGCAAGTAAGTGGCCATCTTGAATTTCGACAATCACAACTGATAGCTTTTTCTTGGGGAGTGCAGGATGGATTTTTCTCAAATGGCATGTGTTTTAGTTTAAACATATTTTATTGACAAAGAAAAGTCAAAGGGATTGGTCAGTAAGTTTTGCCAACTTATAGACGACTTCTCCCAACAATATATATACAATATAGTACAAAAACAAGTCACATGGTGGCATATATAAATGAATGCGTATCATACACAAGAGATGAAAAAAACTAATTGAATAGCCACTTAAGTTATAATATTGATAATGAGAGAGAGGGAGAGAGAGAGGCGAGAGGTAGAGGGAGAGAGGTGGGGAGAGACGGGAAAAGAGGGGGAGGGAGAGAGAGAGAAACTCCTTATTTTGTATATAGAAGTATAATTATATATCAGTCGAACCTACCCGACCTGTTGAGGAAATGCTGTGCAGCCTTTGCAATTTTTGCATTGTTAACATCAGATATATTCGGGTCACCTTTGCATAGAAGATCTATTGTAATATTACCTTCAAACCATGCTAGTTCTGTTAATAGAGATCGACGCAGATTGGCATAAACAGGACAGATTAGAAAGAAGTGATAGGAATCTTCACAGGGATGCCCACAACGGCACTCAGCACTAGCTAATAAATTGGCTCTAAAAAGGTCATAATTTAGGGGACTTGCTCGATTTCTGAGTCTACAATGAAGAATACTTAGTTTCCTAGGACCATGATTTACAAAAGTTTTACAGATATTAGTATCTATTAGTATGGATTTTTTAACATTATTCTTGAATGAGTTAAGGGATGGAGAATTTCTGATAGTAACATTTAAATCGTTCCAAAGTTTTGATGTAGAAGGAAAAAAAGAAAGTTGTGATAGTTGTAAACGAAGAGGCTGTTCTCTGAGTAAATGGTTGTTACGTAGATTATAAGGAGTAGCATTTCCTACAGTATTTGGCAATAAGTCTATTAGAAAATTCGGTGCTGTGTTATTAATAATAGTGAAAAATAGAGCAAGTTTTCGAGCTTCTCGTCTTTTGGAAAGAGGAACCCATCCAGTTTCTTGATATAAAAAATCTATTTTTGTGTATATGGGCAGCCCTGTGACTATTCTTGCAGCTTCTAGTTGGATATTTTCCAGAATTAAAGAATTTACTACACCGCAGTTGTCCCATAGCTCACATGAATATTCAAGTAAGGGACGGATATAGGTAAGATACAACTTTTCCAAATTATTTCTATTTAAAATAAGTTTAAGCTTTCGGAGGGTTGCTACATATTTGGTTACTTTGCTTAGAATATACTGAATATGGGCATTCCATTTACCATCGTTAGAAAGAATAACTCCGAGGTGTTTGTGTTGATTTGTAATTTGAATTGGGGTGTTATCAAAGGTAAGGGATGGGATAAAAGGAAGTTGCCGATTAGAGATAATCATTGCTTCAGTTTTTTTAGGGTTGAAGGACATAAGCCAATCTTTGGACCAAATTTCAAGTTTCCTCAAATCAGATTTGGCTACATTTTCAATATAGATTAAGTCTTGTGATGAATATGAGAGGGAAGTGTCATCAGCAAAAAGTCTAGATAAAGAAGAAAGATTATGTGAAATATCGTTTATATATATTAAGAAGAAGAGAGGGCCTAGTACAGAACCTTGAGGGACGCCAGCATTAATAGTCTTGAACGAGGATAATGAATCCTTAATAAAGACGGCCTGCTTTCTGTTAGACAAATAGCTGGTTATCCATCGGAGAAGTGATCCAGAAATACCGTAGTTGTTTAGTTTAAATATAAGGCCTTTGTACCAGACTCTGTCAAACGCCTTGGAAAAGTCACAAAAAATTAAAATAGAATGTTCAAATTTTTCTAAGGAGGTAATTATAGAGTGATATAACTCAATTAGTTGATGAGTTGTGGAATGATTAGGTAGGAATCCTGACTGATACTTGTAAATAAGATCATTTTCAATCAAAAAATTGTAGATGTGCTTATATATCACACGTTCAAACAGTTTACCTATACAACTTATGAGTGAAATTGGTCTATAATTAGAAGTGACACTTGGATCGTTGGCTTTAAATACGGGCATTACGTGGGCAATTTTCCACAAATCAGGAAATACAGAGGAAGATAGTGATCGATTAAATATAATAGACAGTGGTACAGAAACTTCATTGGCTACAAGTTTGAGCATTTTATGACTTATACCATCAGGACCTGTTGCTTTATTTAAATTAAGAATATTTATAATATCTTCAACTTCACCAGGAGCTATATGGATTTCAGATAAAACGGAGTTGGTGCGCCGTTCAAAAAAAGGTAAATCTTTGTCTATGTCATTTTCTGATAGATTACATACAGAACTAAAATAGTTATTCAACAATTCACATTTACTGTCATTGTCATATAAAATTTCGTTTGTAAAAGAGTCTAGTAGGGGGGAAATTTCAGTATTTGTTTTGCCCTTAAGAATACTTCGTAGAAGTTTCCAATACGTTTTGGGATTGCTATTACTTTTGTCAATCACCGTATTTACATTTTCATAAAATAATTCCTTGGCTCTTTTAATCATATTGTTTACTCTGTTTCTCATGTACTTATAATTATTTTTATTACGCTCAGTACTATTATTAAACATTATTCTTTTAAGTCTATCCCTTTTTCTGATATTACGTCTTAGCAGACCATTCATCCAGGGCTTGTCACCATCACGCACTAATACTTCTCTCGAGGGTATACACGTATTTACAGCATTTAAGAATTTCTCGGTGAAATAATTACACATTTCGTTAACGTTTAACATATGGGTGAAATTTTCTAGCCACGGAATACTAATGATCATATTTTTAAGTTCGTCCACATTGGATTGATTGTACAGCCATACTTTTCTTCTGAAGTTGTGTTTAATTGTTACAGGAATATTAATGACGACGAAAGCAGCATCATGGTCACTAATTGCTCGCTCAATTTCGATCACATCAGAGAAAACTACATCTACAGTATCACTAACAATAATGGGGTCAAGGAGTGTAGAAGAAGTATCAGTACGTCTGGTTGGTTCGGTAATAACATTTGTTAGATTATATTGGGAAAGAATATTACTTAGATCAACTCTATCATTTTTCAAAAAATCGATATTTAAATCACCTGTAATTATTACGTTTGGTGTTTCTTCGAGTGCTATATCAACTGAATGTCGAAGATGCTGCCATAAGACATTGGCGTTGGATGAGGGAGGTCTTTAAATATTACATATTAAATAAAGAAAATTTTGGAGTT